TTTGGCCGAACTTGCCAGGCCGGCTTTTGCGCGATGGATCCGCAGCAGGCAGCGTAGAGCTTGAGGAGCAGATAGTGGGGTTAGGGTTTAGGGTTTAGGGGTTAGGGGTTAGGGGTTAGGGGTTTTAGGGTTTAGGGTTTTAGGGGTTTTAGGGTTTAAGGGTTTTAGGGTTTAGGCTACTTAGCCTCCGAGAAGGGGGATAGTAGCCCCAATAGTGGAGAATCAAATGGAAAAGCAAATGAAAATGAAATGGAAACTGGGTTATATAGGGGTTTCTAAGGATTAGGGTTTCCCAAAATTAGGGGGGGTACCTTTTTGGGGAATCCCACAATAAGGACTATAGTATTTTGGGGTCTATATTGGGGTCCCCTTATGTTGGGAAATTACCACTTGTGGTTAGTAGGGAATATGTAACAAGGGAACATACTTCCTACATAATATACTCCCTCATTCCCTACAAACCAACAGTAAAGATGAGACCTACATTTCTCAAAGTTGGGTGCCCTAAACCCTAAACCCTAGACCCTAAACCCTATACCCCTGTGCTGTACTGGCCACCTCCAACTTCCATTGAAGGATGCAAACCTCTTTCAAACGCTGCAGGCTGTGCCGTGAGGGAAGGGCGGTACAGTAGCACGACAGGAAGCACATGCGGCCACACTGATGGTTTGCCAACCTTTTTGGCATTTTCCCAAAATAAGGGGACCCCAATATAGCCCCAATAGAGAATCCAAAATACTATCATCCTCATTGTGGGGACCCCCTCCAAAAGATACTCCTACTTTTGGTAAACCCCCTTTTCAAGACCAATACTTCTCATGTTGAGAAGCACCTGGCATCACAGACATTACCAATTACTAACCTCGCATGGGGCACCCTGTGGAGCAACTGGTGATGCGCAATCATCATGCTCCGGAGATTCAGCACCTGCGAGGTGCGACAACAACTAATGTCACAGGGCCAGGAGGCATGCCTACATGAGCTATTAAAGGGGGTTTATAGGGGATTATATAGGGGACTACTATTGGGCTTATTAAGGGGGATACTAGGAGTTTAGACAAAGGTTCACATGAAAGCCAGTGGAGCCAATGCACAATGACCTCTATGTTTGCCGTATGTCTGCATTCAAACTGTGATATAGGTTACCCTTTGCGAAAGACGATGTTATGCTTGTGGCTTGGGCCAGGGACGTTGGCATGCTGTGAATTTGACTGATCTGCAAGACAAGTCGCCTACCCAGATCGATATTAGTCTGGCTCTCCTTCGAGACGAGATGTTTGCAGCCCTGCTCGATCCACACCCTTCTTCTACCAGATGGCAAAGTTTGTATACTGAGCTTACCTCCAAGTGGGTTGGCTTTGAGGAAGATACCAGAAAGGAATCTTGACCCCCTAATTATGAAGAGTTGAGTAAAGCTGCTCTTTGAAGAGAATAGGTGAACATGCGGGGGCCACAGCCCGGAGCCAGCAAGGGCTAAATTTGCCACGGCATACTGAGGCTCCGAACATGTTCACAGTGCAAATTGCAAACCAGCCGCAAATCGTTTTGAGGGGCACCTCTGTGGGCAGCTTGCGAAGAACTTGCAGGCTCGCTTCCTGCACTTCTCCGCGATATGTCACCTGCAGCTGTTGTGCAAGAGTACGCAGGCTGCCCGCCCAGCCCTGCCCTTGACACCGCATCAGCGGCAGGGCCTTGAAGAGCGGTTCGCGAAACAGTTGTTGGCTCGATGTCATGTGCACCTGCCAGGCTCGCCATCCGTGCCGAAATTGGTTGACAAGGCCTGATAAAAAACATGACTCCAGGCAGCGATGCATGTACGTAGACGCTCACTTAGGCCTGTTGGCGGTAGAAGGATCAACTACATGAAGTCGAGAAGTCAGTCCTTTTTGTTTCGCCTCTTACTAGTACCCCTTGCAAAGCCCCAAACTAAGACCATAATTTAGTGACGGGATGAGCCTGGAAGGGCAGCTTGCGAAGATGTCGCCGGCTCGTTTCGGGCACTCTGTGGTGATGTGCTTCGGGCACTCTGTGGAGACGAGTCGCCTGCAGCGTTCTGGACTATTCTGGACATATACACCCAGGCTGCAAACCCTGGGGGAAGAGTGGCTTTGCTCAACGGTGCAGCTGCACACTCCGCAGCATCGTTCAAAAGATGAAGACCAGCATTTGTTCTGTTGGAAGGCGCAATTGCTTGCCGACACAGTGACAGGGCTCGTACAGTAGCACCGGCTGCAACGCTGAAACCCTGACTTCGCCAAGACCCCGAATGGTGCTGCTTTTGGGAGGCGGCCCGCCCAGTCCCACCAGCTACCTGGCCTTGACGAGCAGCTGGCGAAACAGCTCCCGGCTCCCTGTCATCACGTGCATGATCGAAACCTGCCAGGCTCTGCATGCCTGCTGCATTCGGTTGCAACGGGCACGAGGTAAACAGGATTTCAGGCAGTGACGCATGTAGATGTCAACTGTGGCCTTTTTGTGGTAGGAGGAACGAAAAGATGAAGTCTACACGTCAGTCAGCCCTTCCACTGCAAAGACCACGAGAAAGGCTCCTTCGTACTAGTACCCCTTGCAAAGCGCCAAACTAAGGCCACACGCATGTTACGGCATGCGCCTGGAGGGGCAGCTTGCGAAGATGTCGCTGGCTCGTTTCGGGAATTCTGTGGAGATGATTCTCCTGCAAGCTTCGCGTATGGCTAAATCTCGATTGTCCTTTGCAAGGCGGTCGTTGGTTTACAGTAATCAGTGCAGCCCTGAGAATGCCAGTTAGCACTGATTGCAAACCAGCTGACCACCAAAAGGTCTCATCTCAAAACAGCCTCCCATGCAGAAACAGAATAAGGGCGATAATTTCACCATTGCTTCGCGGATCACCTCCTTGCTCCAGCAAGTTACAGCACAAAACCCTCCGGCTGCCAGGGCTAGTAGCTAGGGCTTCGGGTTTAGGGTTAGGGTTTAGCGTTTCTAGGTTCTGTATGCCAATATCACAACTTTTGGTGGCAATTTTGAAGGTTTCCGCGTCAGGGGTGAGCTTCCATGTCCATGCTATATGACCTAAAGTCCATACTCCTAGTATCCCTTAACAGCCATTTTAATAGTGCCCTATATAGTCCCAACCTCCATATACAGTCCCCTACATAACACCCTCAACCCTAGACCCTCCATAATCCCCCTTTAAGGACTTCAGACTTTGGCTCACGCTCCACCAAAGATGATGCATCATGGCCCGTATCTCACCCAACAACACCTCGGGCCATGCTTCCATGGAAAGGAAAAAGGAAGCTACGATGTCACTCTAGGGATTAAGGGGATAAGGAAGAAAATCTAAATCTAAACTCCTATTAAGGGTTTAGGGTTCAGGAATACGAAACTCCAGTAATGGAGAATCAACCGGAAAAGCAGATGGACAATGAAATGGAACCTGGGTCAGTAGCGCATGGTAAATCTTTCACTGCCAACGATTTTGCGACACAGGGCCGGTACCGCGAAAACTGTTCATTGTCTGCCGCGGTTGTCAGGTTCTCCCTGGACCTCAAGAATACGGTGGATACTAACAATTCCTGCATAACCCAAAGTACATCTAAGTACCTTACACCTTGGGAAGTATGGTACTTATTGAGGTCATGCAGGATTTTTAGTATGTCTAAACTCCCAGTATCCCCCTTAATAACCCCTATAGTAGTCCCCTATAGAATACCCCATATAATCCCCCTTTAAGGAGTTTAGACTATAGCTCATATAACCCTTACATAACCCTATATATATATATATGTAGCAGTCTCCATTTCATTTTCCATTTTCTTTTCCATTTGATTCTCCATTATTGGGGTATAGGCTCATATACGCCTATATATCCCCTACCTTGGAGGCTGCGAGCCTGCACGACAGGCCAAGGCATGTTCGGCCAGCGCCTCGAAGTCCAGAAGCCAAACCTCCAGCTGCAGGGTTATCACGGGTTCAGGTTGAGGGGTTTAGGGATTTAGGGGTTTAGGGTTTATGGAACTTGTATAGGGTTCAGGGTTCCTACCCACCGGCCATCGTTTCGTCTCATAAGCCCTGACCAAAAGGATGGCCGGTGAAAAAAAGTTTTTCCTTCAGCTTTTTGCCGCGTAACCGATTTTTCCTTACATTTGGATGGCCGGTGAAAGGAGATTGGCACCAAGAGGCTGAAGCTGCTGTGGAAAAAACGAATGTGCTTCTATTTGGGGGATTGTCAAAATTATGGTCCCTTTTTGGGTTCCCTAAAATAGGCCCCGGATGAAAATAGGGACCCAAAAAGGGACCATAATTTTGACAATCCCCCATTTAGAGATTTGGCTACAGAAGGCAAACAATTGGCCCCAAAAGGAATATGGGGTCATTTTTGCATGTTGTCGCCAGCGTGGCCTTTTTGGAAGCCCTTTTGGCCTTTTGGAAACCATATGTGTCTTCTGGAAGCAATTTTCACCTTTTGGAAACCATTTTGACCTATGGAAGCCACTTTCACATTGTTGGAACCTATTTTGGCCCTTTGGACCCCACTTTTGCTCTTTGGAGACCTTATGGCCTTTTGGCCTTTTGGACGCCATGTTCGCACTCGCCTTCCGGAAGCTCGTTTTTTGGAGGGCATGTTGGTCTTTTGCAGGCTGAGTTTTTGTTTTTGCTCTCCATCGCTTAACCTCCTCGCCCAATCGGTTTGCCCAACCTGCTCGCCTAAGGCCAGCAGCATCATTGTATGCTCCACTTGCTGAGTGTTTAATTCTCAGTGATCTGTCCAGTAGGGTCGGGCGGATGCAATTTCTGTTCATCAGGGCTTGAGGCTTAAGGGGTTTATAGGGTTGATGGTTTAGGGGTTTAGGGTTTGGGGTTTAAGGGTTTAGGTTCTAGGGGTTTAGGGGTGTAGGGGTGTAGGGGTATAGGGGCTTAAGGTATCTAACACATTCACCCACCCCACGCCGTCCCAAGCGGCCACCCCAACCTATCCCTACTAGGATGTAGGACCTAACTCAGTTAGGTCCATCTTCGTCAACAACACCACACATCTCTGTGGCCGAGCTTCTGGTTTCCGAAAGGCTTGAGGAGTCTCCAAAGCGTTCCTCCTGAAATCAGACTTGACGGAGGCCAGGAGTTTATCTTTTGCAGGAACCCACCTGCAAGGGACGTTTCAGCAGTTTTTGGGGCCTCTGGAAAGCCTGGGCCTCCTGCCCCGGGTAGTCCTGACCTCCAGAAAGGCCAGAGGAGTCTCAGGCCCGAGTTTTCAGAGAGGGAGGCACCCCAAGGCTGAGAGTACTTTTTATTCTCCTCCGTTGCCGTTTTCCGAAATTTGTTCGTGGAGGAGGGCCTGGGGTCTAGGACCTCCCCCCACAAAAAACTGGAAAAAACCAGCACCCTCGAAAACGAGAGGGGGTAATGGCTTTGTTAAGCAACCAGTTCTGGTTGTGCTGCGAGTCCAGCTAGGCTTCACGGGGCATAGGCGCCGCCCACCATCGTAGGTGGGCGGCCTAAGCATTGATTTTAGGGGTTTGGGGTTTAGGGGTTCAGGGTTTAGGGGTTGAGGTTTTTCGGGATTTAGGTTCAGGGGTTTAGGAGTTTAGGGGTTCAGGGTGTAGGCTCATCAGAGACTGAACGCCTCCCCTTTTGAGCCAACCACCCACGCACCCAGGAGTCGTCAAGTACCAACATTCATAGTACTACTAATCATGAAAAAAAATTAATAACAACAATAATAAGAATAACAATAATAATATGGATAACAATGATAACAATAATGATAATAGTAATAATGATAATGATAACAACAACAAGGTTAGCAACGACAATTAGCACAGAAACTGTGAGGAGACAGCTTTCAAGTCAGCGGCGGGTCGCATCAGGCTCAGGGGAGTTTCTAAACAGGGGGGGTTAGGGTTCAGATAGGGGGGCCCCTGAGGACCCTTAGCAGATATACGGATTGGAAGGGGATTCTGTGGATCCTTATTTAAGAATTTCGGGGCTACATAGGAAGTATTCCCCTAATTTAAGGGTTACGTAGGAAGTATTTTGAGGAATGCAAAGGTCAAATCAGATGCTTAGCGGCCCGAACCAGACATGACCGACCACAGATAGGGTTTAGGGTTTAGGGTTTAGGGTTTAAGGTTTAGGGTTTAGGGTTTAGGTACTTTGAAATCTCAGTCATCGACCAACCACATAAATGTGCAGCTTACTCTGCTCATACAGGTTCTCCCCTTCTTCCCTAAACCCGACACCCTGAACCCTAAACCCAGCCTAAGATCCTAGACCCTAAATCCTATATAACCCCAACATACTGTAGTAGTTTCTATTTTCTTTTCCATTATCCCAATGTAACCCTAATATTACGTACCCCAATGGGTATGCCCTAAACCCTTAAAAAACCCAAATTTGTATGGGCCTTGCTGTAGCCCATCTTTTCCCGGTAGTCCAAGAGGTCCTCATTCTTAAGGTGATCTTTCTTCCAGTTTCCTGAAGACCTGGGCAGAGACCCTTGGGGTTTAGGGTAAAGGTTTAGGGGTTTAGACTTAAGGGTTTACGGTTGAGGGTTTAGGGGAATTCTAGGGTTTAGGGTTTTGAGGCAGGGTGGGTTCCTATCATGTTGACTTCACATCAGGGACTAGACACGCATTTAAAAAATCCCACCGCCGGAACTGCCGGAACACAGTTATAACAAGACCTACAAATATAACAGTTCCAGAAAATGTCTTTCTTTCCGGGGGCAAAAAATAATTAGACCTGAAATCATTCTAAATAGATCTTCGAACCTACATTTTTGACGTTATAATTCCGTAGCTCCCCCAGAACGGAGAGAGATCAATCGGAGGAGGGAGGAGAGGGGTTTATTAACGCGAAACGTTGGGGCGTCTGCTTCGGACAGACCCCCTAAGAAGCATTCTCACCAGGGAATTATGAGATTATAAGACTTGGGTTTTGCAACTCCTTCCGGCTAGCTACGGAGCAGACTACATGACGAAGAGTCCTGACATCTGCTTGTATGTCAACTGCTCCCTCATCCCGGAAGGCCAGACATAAGGATAACAGAAAAAAAACGATGTAAACTACTATTTAGGGTTTAGGGTTAGCTAAAGGCTTAGAGATATGACCGTTATTTAGGGATTGTACTGGGATATACGGGGGAAATCGACTTCAGAAACCCGCCACGACCATCGGATTTGGGGAGCCGCTCTCAAAATCCCGTTCACATGCTTGGGCGCCCACCCTCGCCGCTTCTTGTAGGAACGATTCAGCTTCTGTGCCAGATAGAGCTTGTCCGGTAAGATCTGACAGACGAGGAGTATGTATACTTTCAAAAATTACTCAGGTCAGCTAGAGCAGTTGACCATGCTTTCTTGAGCAAACCTTCCTCTTTCTCTGGAAGCTTCATTGGAGAGCGTAGGGCGTGCGTTCTCAAGTCCGGCACTGCAAAGAAACCGCGACAGTTGTGGCATCAGCATGGCATTAGCGGCGGGAGGAACAAGGCTCTCGGGTTTTTGTATTGCTGGGGACCTGTAAATCAACTGCTTAATCTCGGCAGTTTGCTCGTGCGCTAGCCCAAAAACATCCCGGCCAACACCACGCTGGTCACACTCATCCAGATACTAGGAAAAGAGTTACGTCTCAGCACTACCGATCACCCACCACCTTAGGTGGACCCCCCACCCTGTAATAGTGACTATAGGGGATAATGGTGATGATATTAGGGTCCTCTTTTATTCTTAATATACCACTATTACAGGGTGGGGGGTCCCGCAGCATGCAGCGTGGGCAGCAAAATTCATCCATCACACTGAAGGCGATCTCAACTCCAAATGCCAGGCGTTTTGGGGATAGTCCATGCCTCTCCACTATGGGCTATTAGACCTTTAGGGTACCTTAATCTACCCTTAATAGGGTCCTAATAGGGAATTTTAGGGTCTAATAGCCAATGGTGGCTAGGAAACAAAACAAGCGGATCAATACAGAGAACTCTGCAACGGCTCTTGCAATTGCTCCGAGTCTTGTGAAAGCTCCTGCCAGTCGTGTACCCGTCTGCCTCGTCGAGGTTGCATTCTGGCACCTGCGGACAGTCCGTGCACGAGACCTGTTTGCGTGTTGACCTCATGTCTGTTAGTACTTTGATTGCAACATTGCAATTGCAAAGTGCTACCTACCAGCACCACCACCAAGGCCCCCACCGCCACCCGACCACCGCCGCCAGCTTCCGCCACCACCAGTGCAACTGACACCACCAGCACCACCACGACTACGAGTTCACTACATATTATCTGGCTGACATCTTCGCGGATGTTGGTGGGGGATCCAGCTTTGGTGATCCTCAATAACAAAGTTAAGATTACCATTTTGTACATGCTTGTCCTGTCCCTGCACACGAGTCTAGGCCGTTCCAGGCACTTCACTACCCTCATGTAGTAGCCCGGCATCTACCGAGCTGCAATGCAACAATGAGGAGCCCTATCTTGGGAGTCCCTACAACAGGGAGTATTGCAGGATAGGAGCCCCCATCCGGATCTGAAGTTGTAAGAGCCACATGAACCATAGTCTAAACT